CCACACTTCTACTTCTGAATGGTCTCTTCACCAGCAGGGTATTTCTCCCGTGTCTGTTTTCTTCAGACTGGCTCTATTCAAGCTGGCAATTTTCACCTTGTCTAGCTCCTCTGCAATTTTACTAAAACAACCACATGGAAGCTCCTGTTGTTGCCACTCACAGTGCTGCAGCAAGAGGTCAGTTATTTTCCTTTGTACCCTTTAATGTGCTGCAACTCAGCTTGACAGTTCAGCTTTTCAACAACACACGGTTTCTTTCAAACAAATACACTAAAACTGAAACTAGTTTCCAAGCCTAGAATTTTGAATGTGTGTATATGTGCTTATGTGTATGTGTGAGAGTGTTAAGTGTGTGTTAGTGTGTGTACATGTCTGTGTATGTGTGAATGAGTGTGTATGTGTGTGCATATGTGTAAGTATGTGTTACAATTGCATATCTAATTGTTTGAATACAGGAAAACTTTGGTTTGTAATCAACCACCATCCTTTCTTTAAGATTTTTAATATTTTTAGCATCTCATTCATGAATACTGTATTTGTATCATTTCTACCGCTGCCTCTCCCCCTACAACCCTTACAGTTCTGACCTCTTCTTTAATTGGTGTTACATGTATTTTGTAGATATGTAATACTTGGACACATAAATGCAGCCCACTGATCCCATTACCTAACATATTTGACTTTGTTTTTCAACCTTAAAGCAGTATTGTGCCATGTTCAAACAATACACTTCATCCTCATTTCCAGTCCTTGTGGTTGTCATTTATTGGTTTTACATTTGGGCCATTAAATGCATTATAAACTGCAAGTAGTGGAAATATGTGCATCTCTGCTGCTCTGGCCTTTGGTGAGAATGTGCACTGTCTTGCTAATAAGCAAGCTACCAGCTATTTGAAGAAACGTGGCTAATATAGAATCCTGAGATTAAATCTAGACTCTGTATTGAGATTTTCCCACATCCTTTAATGATATTATTATGAGAGTATTGCATTTACATGCTTCCCTTTCCACTCGAAGTAAAGATTTTCCTATAATTAAATTCTTCACATTCTGGATTTTGGGAACTATTTTACAGAAACTCCCTAAAGGGTAACTTTTCCGTGTTTTTTTTTTCCTACTCTTACATTTGTTATGTTACATAAAACTGAGCTTGATAGTAGAATGAAATAGATAAACTTAAATTTCTACCTTATATTGGATGCTTGGTGTAATTTACTGACCCTTGTAGAGCAACATCTACTCACTATAATTAAGATATGGGGGGTGGGAGTAGTATTGTTTCTCATCAGCAGTCTCCTGGTTCTGGAGACATGGTTTCTGCCTAAAAGGGGGAAGAACTCCAACCAGCAATGCTTCCAGGAGTCATTCATTACAAGAAGGCCTTTCCCGGGGTGTGGGTATTAAGTTGATTCACATTCTACCTATATGTCAGAGATACTTTCTATCTTTTCAATGATTTTTCTGGTTCCTGTGCCTCCATTCCTCCTGAAAATTAGATATTTAAAATGGTATCTATTTTACAGAACTGTGTGGGAGTAGAATTGGTACATTTTAAGTGATTGGAGCATGTGCTGGCACACAGTAAATGCTTGTCATCAAGATGACAAAATCATGGTGGTTTGGGGAATGAAGTAGACTCACCCATGTGTCATTTGCTGACTAAATGCTCTTGGAATGATTTGGTCTCTGCCTCTTGTGTTTTTAATGTTCTTGAGATTGGGCTAATATTCCTGTTTTGGGCATTTGTCATAAGAGAAACGTCAGCATTCCCTTAGGGAAGAGCCCAGCCATCTTCACAATTGGCTGCTGACTCTGGCTAGGGTTATTACATTTAATCCTAGGATGACCAGTGCAATGTCTTTAGTGTGTGTGACACTCCTCATGGTGACAAGATCTGAGATGAGTTTGGGAACTTAAAGAACCTTTCACTTCAACTGCTTCTTATATTTCTGACCTTCCATTTGATTTTATTTGGCAGCATATTTTAAACTTATTTTTGGTGAATTTTCTGTTTTCTTTGGTGAATTAAGAAGATTTTTAAAAAAGACAAAGTCTAGCTTGTCAGTTGTCAATGCTCTTTTGACATATTAAGCAAGTTAGCCCTTGGGTGATTTTAAAAGGGACTATGTTCTACTATCACTAAGAAAATCATCTACTAGCAAAATAATCTTTAGGATTCTTTTGTTTATTTTTGTTATGCAATCTTCTATCTATTACTTATTTCTATCATAAATAAAGAGAAAACAAAGGCTAATTTCAGGTGCCAGATGGGTACCAAAAGTCTTTCAGTGACTCAGCACAGGATCCAGTTAGGGCATCCAAGCTCTGAACAGCTCTGGGGTGATTACAGTGGAGTGAAATTTCTTTCCTGTGCCAGGCCTTTTGTCTGTGCTCAGAGCCTTTTAAATCTTATGAGAAACTTTCTAGTTGCCTGATGCTGGCTGTTGCCAGTTGAGAGTGGGTGTTACAATTAACTTCTTGCTGGAAAAATCGACAGGACTCATTTTGAGGCCACTCAATGAACTCCTAAAGAAAGAAGAATCAGAGTGAAAATTATTTCTAACCTTCAGATGTAAAGATCATTTGACCTCATTGATAGCTGTGCAAAGGCTCAGGCCTGAACCCAGAAGTTAAGATTAAAAGAGCCTTGTTCTGAAAAAGGCTATCAATTTGAGGGATTCAGGGCAGAGATGGGGAGGGTTGGAGGGAGAAAACATGAGAGGGCATGGAGGAAAGAAAGGGTTTTCTTTAAAAAATACATTTTAATGTAAAACATTAAACCTGTTCTCTTCTGGGGTGTATCAATAATTAGAATGGTACCTCTAATTTTGTGGCAATAGAAAAGCTGAATAACAATCCCAGGGAGAGTGCATTTTAATCACCAGTTTTTCTCTCTTAGTAAAATCTGAGTTTGTAGGATATTCAGTGCTTTGCTTATCTAAACTGAGAAATTAACTATGAGTTTAGGTTTCTTATCCTTGACACGACTAGGTTGTCCAGTGAAGTCTGATGCTGAGGACAAATGTGAACCATAGTTTGTGCTGATCATTAGAACCTGTGAAGGTTCTCAGTATTAGGGATGTCTCAGATGACTGAGACAATACACTGTCACAATACACTTCCCACCTAAGTGACATAGTCTTTGAGTGTAGTGTCCTGGTCAGTGTATTGTGACACACAAGCTCAGTGTGTAATTAAAACACGTCCTTAGCCCCATAGTGGAGAATTGACATTCACAATGAGGCTAGCCTTGAAGTTGAAGCAGGAAAAGTTAAGCTCTGATCTTGATAAGGCACCAGGAAATGACCCAGACAGACCTTGAATCCAACTGTAATCAATTCTCAAACCCATAATGTCCTGTCAATCGATGTTCAATCTTTCCTACATTTTCTCCAAGTCACTAGCTCTCATTTCTGAATGATTCTACTTCTGAATGATAGCATCAAGAAGAGAGTGTGCACAGATGCACTTGGCTTGACTGACTTAACCTACTAAGTATACCACCCTGAACATGAGGGGGAAAGAATTGTCACAAGGAGTAGCATAATTCCCACTTTCACAGAGCATAACTTTGCTTCTGTTTGCCTTTAATGACAACAACAAATTTGTCTAATATAGACAACCTTTTGAAAAGAAAAGGAAATCCAAATTTTTCATCCAACTTTTTGGAGTAGTTTTATTTTTAACATTTTAAAGTCAGCTTTTCTCCAGTTTATTGAAAATTTTGTCTTGGTCCCAGCTAACACTAACAGCCTGTTTAGTTTCCAGTCTGTCTGGATGTTAATGGTACTTCCACCCTGGGCTCATTTTCTTGTAACAATGCTAATGGGGTTGTTGCTTCCTAAGAGGCAGAAAATTGATATGTTTGGGTTTCTGCTTCTAGTCTTTGGATTCCTGGTTGTGTTTTTCTCCTTGTTTATATTTCTTTTAATTAACATTGAATTTCTTCATTTTTCTGCCTTGCTTTTCTTTTGTTTGTGTAGTCTTCAGGGCAATGACTTCTTCAGTAACAATTGTTAATCAGGGAGAAATGATAGCTTGAGGGTTCTTCCGCAGTTAGTCAGTGCTAGGATAAAAGTTGTTCTGTCGAAGTCTCATTAGGTCAACTTTTACATCTCCAGTAAGAACGGCATGGTGCTCTGTTAACTCATTTTGTGTCTTTTATTTTGGACTCAGACTCAGGTTTGTTTTCTTCAGGTTCTCGTTATGTGTCAGGTAATCTAAACCAACAGTAGCATCAGTCTTAAAAAACAAACCCATCAGCCCTTTTCTTAAGGGAACTGCTCACAACGCAGGTGTTTCAGGAACCTAAAAGTTAGAATTCATGACTGATAGAGAAGCAGAAGCAACTGAAGAATTAGGAGTCTGTCGATTAAAAGATTAACTTTGTAAAAGCCTGGCTAGAAAGTATTGGTGCTGATTATTTTGCTTCTCTCTGCTGTGTGAATCTGGAATCTAGGACAGGGCTCCTCTCTGTGTGTCAGCTTTATCAGTCAGTCTGTCCATCTACCTAGGAAACAATCTTGGTTCAGTCACAGAGGCAAAATGGCCCATGACCCTTACCTGAGATGTTTTCACAAATGAAGTGCCAACCATGGTTCCAAAGCAGGACTTGTACACCTCAGTGTAAAAGCAAGTCACAATGCTATTGTGATAGTTCTCAAATTCAACAGGGTTCAAATGGTCAGATTTCTTTAATCTGATATGAGACAGGAAAAGTACTATAATTTCTCTAGGAACCAACCTTTTGTTGTAGACATTCAGCAGTGTGAGCTGAAGATTTTATGGGGGAACATCTTGATATCTTTTTGTTTTTTCTCTCAGAGGTTTTTATTTGAAAACTCTCCCAATGTAATTGTGTAGCATAGCTGGAGATGACACATCTCAGCTGCTTCTTTCATAATGAACCTCAAGTCTGCAGATTCTATAGCATACTACTGCCTATGATTCACAGGACAGCAAGCACTGAGCACCTCCCACTGCCCAGCTGCAGAGGATACTGTAAGGAAGCAATGGGGGGGGTGGTTAGGAGAGCTGTTCAAAGTAAGCTTTCATTGTCATTTTTGGTGTAGCAGGACTAAGACCAAAGCAGGATAATATGAAACAGTAGACCTATCCTTATGAGAGAAGAACTAGTTTGTCCCCAGCATTGTATTTAGGATAAAGAATTGTATTTTCAATAGCTGCAATTATTCCATGTGGGGGCAAAAGGCCATCATCATGGAATCCTGGAAGGGAACGTAATTGATTTGCTGCTAAATGACTCAGCTGGACCTTTTCTGAAATACCGGTCAAGGTCAGTATTGAAAAGAGTGGTATGTTGGCATTTCCATACCCTTGGAAATAAAGAATTAGGCTACCTTGGGAGCCAAATGATGTCCTTTTACTTTCTGAAATGTCAATTATTTTATAATAAATTTCTTCTGAAATCAAAAGCTCCTGTTCTCTTGGGAAAATGTGACTGTTTGCCATTGTTCCTTGAATGGCTATTTACAGCACATTTTCTGGCTGTGGAGTTCTGTAGCCAGCTCCACGGTAAGGACAAGAGTCTCACTAAAAGCCCAAAGGACATAGAAGGAACTGCATCTCTTCACTTTCCTGTTCTGTCCCCTTAGCGTGGGAACATCAGTATATGAAATGGCATCCGAGTAACTTAGTGTCAAGTGTTCACAAGAACAGAGTAACAGGAAAGGCTTTGCAGCCATTAGGGAAATGAATCACTTGCAGTTTTTTTTTTTGGGGGGGGGGTGTCCTACACCAGCTTTCCTGAGCTGTCAGAGAACTTAGTACTGTTTTCTGTGGCTCCCCATCCCTAGCTGTGAGCTCTTCAGAGAGAGTTGATCTTATTTATCTTTGTATCCCTGGACACTAGTGCCTAATAAATGCCTGCAAATGCATTAGTAAGAAGGATTGCTGTTACCCTTTGGGGGAAAGAGGAGGGAATAAGATAATGATTTTGTAAGAGCAGAAGAAAAAGAAAAAAAGAAAAAGATTCACTCATGTAAGTTGTGGGATAAAAATGTACATCTTTCTTGTTATTCTAGTGAAAGGATATGGTTCAATTAAGCAGAACTCAGTAAAAAGTTTTCTATGTGTATTTTATGGCCTGGTTGTCCATATAAGTATGAAATGCTTTGTTTCCAACAGGGAACTGAAATTTAGGGTAGGAATGGCAGTTATATGCAGGGAAATGGACTCTTTGCATCTAAATTGGTAAATTTGTTGTTGTGAGTACTCAGGAGGTATGCTGGAAATACAAAAAGAGGGTATTGACTGGTTGGCTGTAGGCTCCTATATTGAAAGAATCAGGAACCTTCTAGGAAAAAGTGACATCTGAGTTGATTCTTGGAGTAAAAATCATTAAAAGAAGAAAGGAATACACAGATATGGAGACAAGGAAGAAGAGAATGTTCTAGAAGGAGACGGAGGTGTTAAAAAAAAGTATAGAATGTTAAAGACACTGTAAGGAGGCTCAGTGAATTAACATACTTGCTGCTAAGTCTGACTAGATCCACATAGTGGAAGATGAGAAACAATGCCTGAAAGTTGTCCTCAGACCCACACACAAGCACACACACACACACACACACACACACACACACACACACAGTGGCACATGTATGTATACACAACTATACATAAATTCATAAATAGGTAGATAGACAGACAGATAGCTAAATGTAATTTAAAAGCAAACCACAACTGCAGGTGGCTCACTATATTAAGTGAAAGAGAAGCATGGTATTTAGAGGGAAAGGGGTGGCTCCACAATCAAAACCATATGTCCCTACTAATCATGTGGAGGAGACTGATTTGAATATTGTGGTATGGGTGACAGAGTTTAACGCTGCCCTTGAAAGAGACAGTATGACCTCCAAGAAGACTGATTAGAAGGTGGCTGAAATAGCATAGATAAATGTCTAGAACAGAGTAGTGGTGATTTATAAAGGGAGGAAAAAGCTGAGAAATGTTTGTAAGGTACTGCAGTAAGACTTGATCATAGACTGAGCAGGGTGATAATGATAAGGGAATGAGAAGAGTGCAGAGTTTTGGCTGCTGTGTTAGAGTAAAGGGTGGCATTCTTAGGGGAAAGATGGGGAGACAGAAGAGAAAGAGTAGGGGGTGGAAAGGGGAAAGCACACACACACACACAGAGAGAGAGAGAGAGAGAGAGAGAGAGAGAGAGAGAGAGAGAGAACAAAGGAGGAGGAATATGTTTGAGAATGGAGAAAATATGTTAAATTCATGAAGGGTACACCTGAGAGGGCTGTGGAAATTTCAAGTAAGGTGCCTGACAGATGTGAATTGGAAGCTCAGAAGCAGTTAGGATATGAGATACAGACATGGAAATTGTTGAACATATGGCAATGAGTGAAACAGAAAAAAATAGATGAGTTTCCCAGGAATATAATGTAAACAAGGGTTTTCAAGTATTGGCAACAGCTTCGTGGACAGTACTCCTCATGATTATCTGTAGGACTATCTGGATACCTTTCTTGGAGGCTCTGACTCATCAGTGGAGAGTTGGGAATCTGAATTTTTAAAAAATGATTTACTATTTTCTTTTCTGTGTGTGAGTGTTTTGTCTGCATGTGTGTGTGTGTGTGTGTGTGTGTGACTTGTATGTGCAATGCCTGTGGAGGCCAGAAGAGGATAGCCTGTAACTGGAGTTACAGATGACTGTGAATTCTGGGAACTGAACCCAGGTCCTCTGAAAGAGTAGCAAGTGCTCTTAACTGCTGAGCCCCCAGGAAGCTGAATTCTATAACTTTCCTTGGTAAAATTTGACTTAGTAGTCATTTATTGGTAAATATTGACAAAAAGTAAAGCTAATGTTATTGCTTGTACTGCAGAGATAAAAAGAGCAGGTGACTCTGTGAAGCAGAAGCAGAAGAGGACAATACGAACAAAAAAAGGGTGAATATGCTCAGGATATATGAAAATGTTCTAATGAAAGCCATTTATTAATATATACCAATAAATCTTTTAAAAAGGAGAAGGTTAATCCAACAGATGGAGAACCAATAAGGCCATATCACAGAAGACAGAGGATGAGGAGATTTCCAGAAAAACTAATGATGCCTTGAGAAGTCTATTCAGGGTGTCTGAAGTTTCTTGGAGGTCTAGGACCTTCAGAAAAAGTATAGGGGGAGTAAGACTAGTGAGCACTAGGTTAGAAGGTAGAGGCTGGAATGGAGACAGGATAATGGCGATGCACAATTCTTCCAAAGACCTTGATGGTGAAGAGGATGGTGGCTGGGGGAGAGGGAGCACGGGGTGAAAGGATGGTGCTCATGGAATGAGAGCAGAGCCTGCTACTCTGTTCAGAGCTTGTGTAGATAGACTCCACAGAGTTACAGCAGACAGAGTAGGGAAGATTGGGCAGATTGCTGAATATTTCTAACTTTCCTTCTAATACTACATTTTCCCCCCAATATACAGTGGTGGGAAAATATTTTGTAGATTGAACTCTTGTTGGTCCCATAAAACCTAATTCACTTGCTTGCTAATTTAGAACAGTTTGCATTTGTCTCTATCTTCAGGGTGCAGGGTATATTGCATATCCAGAAAGCAGCACAGAGGTACCACTGTAACTGGTTTTCTAAGTGACATGCTGAAGATGTTCTTTTGGTAGACTACATCACAAGATTCAAAAGAAAAGGGGAAAGTGTCTTTTGGTTGATACCCAATAGAAGACGTAAATAACAGCATTAGTGAGAGGGGACTTCTTTGGCTGTCTCTTTTTAACTAAACCATTCCCACTCCTAAAAAAATAAACTCTAGCACTACATGGAAAATAGCAAATTTGGAAATTCTAGAGCAAATGAAGAAATAAATAAACAAACAATCTAACAAACCCCAGAGTCATCATATAAGCAACAGCTAACACTTCTCATTATATTCTGAAATAGGAAGTGGTGGTTAGTGACTTGTTTTATATGTGCTCAAGTACTTTGAAGAGCAATGTGCAAAGCCCCCAGAACAACCATAGACAGAAGCAGACATTACCACCAAAGTAAGAAAGGGTGGTTACTGGCTGTTATACAAACATTTCCTGCCTATCTAACTTTTAAGTGCTTTTTTCCCCAAGTGTTTTAACAATTTGAGAAAGAAAAGAAATTCAGAAGCCAGAATGAAATGAACCACAATATAGTGCCTATATAAAAGTACAGACTTTGCTATGTCTCATTCTAACTTTTCTTCTGTGTATAATTTTAGGATGGCTCTACATCAGTAACTTTAATATTAAACTTTTTTCCTTTCCAATTCCTCATTGTCTCCCTTATTCCCTCCCTTCTCTGTCTCTGTTTTTCTCTGTCTCTTTATCTCACTTTCTGTCTCTGTCTCCCCCCCCTCTCTCTCCCTCTCTCTCTCTCTCTCTCTCTCTCTCTGTCTCTGTCTCTGTGTCTGTGTGTGTGTGTGTCTGTGTGTCTGTGTGTCTGTGTGTCTGTGTGGCGGTGATCTTACATATGCTGGGCAAGCAATCTATCACTCAGCTTTACCTATAGCTTCACCTCACTACACACATACACACACACACACACACACACACACACACACACACACTGTTTCTTTTGTAATTAAAATAATATGCATTTATATTGTGCAGTAGGAGAGGTTACATATTTTAATTAGCAAGTCTCCTATAATTGGATATCTTAATCATTCCCAAATTTTCTTTATTACTATTAGTAGTTTCAAGATTGCTTTTGCATGCAAATCCCTTCTCGAAGCTAAATTTATTTCCAGAATTATTGTATAATAGCATGTGACAATATTAAAGCCTTTGGATTTTATTAGCAAATTCCTTCCAAAAGTTTTATTGCATTTGAAAAGCATGCCAGCAAGACATAAAACATATATTTAATCACATATATACCTTTTAATCACATATATATGCATATATATATGTTTGGGATTTTATTTTAAAACAACATTGCTAACTTAAGAAAAGGTAAATATAAACTAAAGATTTTAACTTCTTTGATAATGAGATAAAGCAGTTTCTGTGGTTATAATGTTTTTCCTAATTTTTCAAAATCTATACTTACTGGTTGAAATGCTCATATCTTTCTTATAGATTTATAGCAGTGGTTTTCAACCTTCTTAATGCTGTGACCCTTAAATACAGCTCTTCAGGTTGTGGTCACCCCCAACCATAAAATTATTTTCATTGCTACTTCATAATGGTAATTTTACTATTGTTATCAACTGTACCTTAAATAACTTTGGAGATAGAGGTATGCTGAAGGTGTTGTGACCCACAGGTTGAGAACCACTGGCTTATAGCTTTGT